TCCAACTCTAACCTAATTTGGGTGCCTTGAAGTGGACATATTTTTCTGCTACTGATGCGTCTCCTGTAGACTTTTGTCCATAGACCAAATTTTCTAGGCGGGAATTGAATGTTCAGCGGAACAAGTGACTGATGTGTTGGTAAACTAAGAGCTACCACGATAAAGATTGTCATTTAGAGGTAAATTAACAGTCGTTTTGCGGGTGTTTTCTTAAATAGTGAGCGGATAAATGTCTCTCCTACCCTACACACTGTGTTTTCAAAATTTTTTGTTGGATTCACCCCCATAAGCTGCTCCGTGGACACATTTACCCAAAACCAATCAGCGCAAGGCAAAAGTACCGCTTTGACGTGAATGCGTATTGTGCCCAGAATGCTCAAAGTTTTAGGTGGATGAATGGATATCCCCTTTTTTCTGTAATAAAAGCTAAGTTCAGTGGATTAATAGACCACAGTGTGCCTCTCCAGAGCATATGTATGACAAAAAGCAGGCCATTGAGGCTTTTTTTTTTAATGTTTGCCGATTGGCGAAGCAACCGATTCATATTTCTGTCCGATGAAGGTTTTATTTCTGAAAAGGTAAAAAAAATCAGATTTTTTTTTAATTTCCTGGCTGGAGCAGTTCTTCCGCCGTGAGTCGTCTCAACATCAAACATCTGTAGCGGATGTCCTCCGCCTTTGACATTTTGACGCGACACCCAGTCAATGAAGTCGAGGTGAGGAAAAAGAGTCGTCCGAGTTGACCTCGGAGGACCTTAATGCATGGAACAATTGAATAGGGCGGTGAGAATCAGTCCAAGGAAAAATCGAAAAGACTAAGAATGAAACAGCAAGTCGGGAGTTCCTACATGCATTCGGTAAGGAAATGTTGGCTGTTAAGACAAAAGTCAAGCAAATCATAGACCTTTTGTCTGCCAAACCACATAAGAAACTACTGCCAATGAAAGATAATTTAAGAGATCGAGTTGATTTGGAAAATGGGGACGGAAGACGCTTTGTTCCCCTTCAATCTCACCATTCACCTCTTAATCGGTCTCAAGAAATCCAACTTTTCCTGGGATGTAGTGAGATTTCTTTCCTTCTCGGCTCACCGTCATCTTCTGACTCAACAGCCACGAAATTGGAGACTTCGAGTCAGACAGGAGAATGCGTCCCCCTAGGTCCCTCCTTAGAACAGTTGGTCAGGTCCCAGTCACGACAGCACTCAAAGCGGGTTTGTTGCCCTGCGCTGTGGAGCGGGAAGCTCCTGATACCTACAAATCTGGCTTTTTCCAACCGCTCAGTCAATGAGCACCACACCTCATTGTTTTAGAGGAAAAAAAGGTAAAATCATGTTGACAGCTTCCTGAGCACTGTGTTGCATCGCCATATTTAACGCACACTTGGACTGTCCAAACTTGGCATGTCAATCGCCTAACACTGGCCACATACCTACCCAAATGGAGGCAGTTCAACTTTGGGACACTCTGATGCGTCAGTTATGATGGTTGGTGATTTTCACCTCTGCGATTGCCCGCATCCCATCCATCCCCATTCTCGAAGTGGGAGACTTTGGCGCAACCACGAGAGTGCTCGGACGCATGACATTTATGTTGAAGGTGCACCACAAAATGTGCGGCTTAGAGTGACCCCAACTTGAAACTGCGCCCAGATGCACTTAGTTTGCTTTTAGCCCGCTACGTTTCAACGAGGAATTGGATTGATACGCACCACTTCAATCACACAATTTCGTGAATTACATTGCAGGACGGAAGTACCTTCAACTACTGAGTTGACTCTTCCTCTGGCAACTCCTATGGATATCACGCCTTCAGGCGAGGTGGAGCCACCCTCCACCTCCATCCCCAGCCCCACCTCCTCCGCCACTTCCATCGCGATCCCTGCCACCACTCATGGTGGACGTCGCAGGCAGCCAAACGTAGTGGAGCGCAAGTTCAACCTCGACTTTCTCACCAGTCCCCGTCACAAGGTGAGCCAGTTCGTACTCCTAGCTAGCGCTTCATTGGGTATGTTCTCCAACCTCCCAGACTACGTCTTTTCAGTACTCTCACTCCATGTGATGGAGAGATCACCGACTAATGTGTCACTTATAGCTACATTGGTTACTGAGAGACACAAGCGGTCTACGAATTAATTCGTGAACTTTGAAGACATTCGTCTACCTCATCAACTGCCTATCCATTTATCTGCCTACATATTTATCGACAATGTTCGCTTTCCAAGTCATGACAAATTGTTCCTCTTTTTCAACATGATCTCCTGCTACACCGCTGGGTCATTCATTCCGCCAGTTTTACACCATTCCTCCCACAAATTTACCTCGTCAGTGGAGCATTTGTTTACGTTACTTTGGGGTCATAAGATAGGGGTATTTTCCGGACCGAAGATTGGGCTATATCGGGTGGACCGGGAGGCGGTGTGATGTGGTTATGCATCCCAAGATGTGTTGGTAAACTAAGAGCTACCACGATAAAGATTGTCATTTAGAGGTAAATTAACAGTCGTTTTGCGGGTGTTTTCTTAAATAGTGAGCGGATAAATGTCTCTCCTACCCTACACACTGTGTTTTCAAAATTTTTTGTTGGATTCACCCCCATAAGCTGCTCCGTGGACACATTTACCCAAAACCAATCAGCGCAAGGCAAAAGTACCGCTTTGACGTGAATGCGTATTGTGCCCAGAATGCTCAAAGTTTTAGGTGGATGAATGGATATCCCCTTTTTTCTGTAATAAAAGCTAAGTTCAGTGGATTAATAGACCACAGTGTGCCTCTCCAGAGCATATGTATGACAAAAAGCAGGCCATTGAGGCTTTTTTTTTTAATGTTTGCCGATTGGCGAAGCAACCGATTCATATTTCTGTCCGATGAAGGTTTTATTTCTGAAAAGGTAAAAAAAATCAGATTTTTTTTTAATTTCCTGGCTGGAGCAGTTCTTCCGCCGTGAGTCGTCTCAACATCAAACATCTGTAGCGGATGTCCTCCGCCTTTGACATTTTGACGCGACACCCAGTCAATGAAGTCGAGGTGAGGAAAAAGAGTCGTCCGAGTTGACCTCGGAGGACCTTAATGCATGGAACAATTGAATAGGGCGGTGAGAATCAGTCCAAGGAAAAATCGAAAAGACTAAGAATGAAACAGCAAGTCGGGAGTTCCTACATGCATTCGGTAAGGAAATGTTGGCTGTTAAGACAAAAGTCAAGCAAATCATAGACCTTTTGTCTGCCAAACCACATAAGAAACTACTGCCAATGAAAGATAATTTAAGAGATCGAGTTGATTTGGAAAATGGGGACGGAAGACGCTTTGTTCCCCTTCAATCTCACCATTCACCTCTTAATCGGTCTCAAGAAATCCAACTTTTCCTGGGATGTAGTGAGATTTCTTTCCTTCTCGGCTCACCGTCATCTTCTGACTCAACAGCCACGAAATTGGAGACTTCGAGTCAGACAGGAGAATGCGTCCCCCTAGGTCCCTCCTTAGAACAGTTGGTCAGGTCCCAGTCACGACAGCACTCAAAGCGGGTTTGTTGCCCTGCGCTGTGGAGCGGGAAGCTCCTGATACCTACAAATCTGGCTTTTTCCAACCGCTCAGTCAATGAGCACCACACCTCATTGTTTTAGAGGAAAAAAAGGTAAAATCATGTTGACAGCTTCCTGAGCACTGTGTTGCATCGCCATATTTAACGCACACTTGGACTGTCCAAACTTGGCATGTCAATCGCCTAACACTGGCCACATACCTACCCAAATGGAGGCAGTTCAACTTTGGGACACTCTGATGCGTCAGTTATGATGGTTGGTGATTTTCACCTCTGCGATTGCCCGCATCCCATCCATCCCCATTCTCGAAGTGGGAGACTTTGGCGCAACCACGAGAGTGCTCGGACGCATGACATTTATGTTGAAGGTGCACCACAAAATGTGCGGCTTAGAGTGACCCCAACTTGAAACTGCGCCCAGATGCACTTAGTTTGCTTTTAGCCCGCTACGTTTCAACGAGGAATTGGATTGATACGCACCACTTCAATCACACAATTTCGTGAATTACATTGCAGGACGGAAGTACCTTCAACTACTGAGTTGACTCTTCCTCTGGCAACTCCTATGGATATCACGCCTTCAGGCGAGGTGGAGCCACCCTCCACCTCCATCCCCAGCCCCACCTCCTCCGCCACTTCCATCGCGATCCCTGCCACCACTCATGGTGGACGTCGCAGGCAGCCAAACGTAGTGGAGCGCAAGTTCAACCTCGACTTTCTCACCAGTCCCCGTCACAAGGTGAGCCAGTTCGTACTCCTAGCTAGCGCTTCATTGGGTATGTTCTCCAACCTCCCAGACTACGTCTTTTCAGTACTCTCACTCCATGTGATGGAGAGATCACCGACTAATGTGTCACTTATAGCTACATTGGTTACTGAGAGACACAAGCGGTCTACGAATTAATTCGTGAACTTTGAAGACATTCGTCTACCTCATCAACTGCCTATCCATTTATCTGCCTACATATTTATCGACAATGTTCGCTTTCCAAGTCATGACAAATTGTTCCTCTTTTTCAACATGATCTCCTGCTACACCGCTGGGTCATTCATTCCGCCAGTTTTACACCATTCCTCCCACAAATTTACCTCGTCAGTGGAGCATTTGTTTACGTTACTTTGGGGTCATAAGATAGGGGTATTTTCCGGACCGAAGATTGGGCTATATCGGGTGGACCGGGAGGCGGTGTGATGTGGTTATGCATCCCAA